GGCTGGTGTGCAGCCTTCCTCTGTGGGGACCTCAGTACCCTGGGTGCTCAGTTCCCTTTCTGCCCACCCTGGCCCTCCCCGGGGGTTGGGGGGGGGGCATCAGTCCCTGCTCCTCTCCCTGTGGCTCTAATTGCCCCTCTGGCTTTTGAGTATGTTCTACCTAGTCCGCACAGCAGTGGGCGACCAGGATAGAACTGGCCTCCCTCGCAATCCCTCCCTCGCGATCCTGGGAGTCTCATCCCACATCCTTTCCTCTCCCCTCCTCTCCTCTCGTCTTTGGTGGGGAGCCAGGTCCTCAGCCTTCTGCTCAGGCGCCTGCCCCTGCCCACTGAGTGCATCCGCCACCAGAGCTGTCTGCCTGGCCTCCTTTAGGAGAGAGGGGCTCGCTGTGCTGTGTGTGTGGCACACTGTTAGTGTTACTTTGAAGTCAGGTCTTACCTGACCATTGCTTGGTCCATAATGAGCCTGTAAACATGCCAGCTAAACGATGGAGGTGCCTCTTGATGCTGCTCTTTCACTGTGTACAAAACCCCTGAGGGAAAGACTCCTTCTCCATATGGTTCTGTTCCTCTGCATGGAAAAGGCCACCAAGGCCCAGATGGGCCAGTTACTGGTCACAGCAGTTAGTGAGACTCACGTGCGTGCATGGATCAGGACAGCCAGTCCTGCAGATCAGAGTAACCCAGTAAGGTCATGTAACCAATCAGCCAAGAGTGACAGGCTCCGAGCTGTGAGTAATTTTCTTTTTGGTGTGTTTTTGGTGTTTCAGGTCTTGGGGTATCTTACTGCAGTGGTTCATCGTGGGGCTTTTTGAGGACCTGAAGAGTGGTAGCATTTCTCCTGGAAGGCAGGTGTGTGGGGGAGGAAAGCACCAGTGCAGCGCCGGGCCCACCTGGCTGGAGTTTTTCTTGTCTCCATCTGCACTGTCCTCTGTAGGACTCATCCTGACCATGTCAGAGGTTGTTCTCAGGCAGTGAACGGTTGCAGGAACGTAGACGTCCTGCCTCTGGGTGTAGGGGAAATAATCAGTGGACACTGTTGTGGTCTGTAATGGGGAATAATCAGTGGACACTGTTGTGGTCTGTAATGGGGAAATAATCAGTGGACACTGTTGTGGTCTGTAATGGGGAAATAATCAGTGGACACTGTTGTGGTCTGTAATGGGGAAATAATCATTGGACACTGTTGTGGTCTGTAATGGGGAATAATCAGTGGACACTGTTGTGGTCTGTAATGGGGCTGCACGTTTTTATGGTGCTTTATGCTGTCGGGGAGAATGGGAACTCTTCTGAGACAGAGGAAGGGGCTGAGGTCCCAGGAGGTTTTGATACAACAGCGCTGTCCCTGCTGAGGCTTTGCCCGGGCTTCCTCTGTGCTGCTCCCTCCTTAGGCTGCGTTTCATCCAGAGCGCCCCCCTGGGGGGAATTAGATAGAATGAGAGTCTGTTTCTGTCTTCGTAATATATACGTGGATTGAAATTATTTTGATTTGAAAATTTTCTGACAAGGCACTGCCTGCCAGAGAGTAAGTCTGTTAGTTGTGTACCTGATGATGTCTTTCCCCCTCACCTGTCTGCTTTTTTTCAATTCACTCGGGTACATTGATGTCTCCAAAGGAAAGGAAAATATATACATAAAGTAATAAGGAAACAAGTCTGGTGATGGATAAGGACTGACACGGGAGGAGGCTGTGTAGGTGTGCCTTTGCCTCTTCCATTGACATCCAGCCAGCCTTATCTGTGCCTGTCTGAACCTGCTGTTTTTATCAGGGTTGTACAGTGCCGATGTTCTTAATTTCATCGTTTCTGCTTTATTTCTTGCTTCGTTTTCTTCCTCTGTAAGAACAACTAATTTTTCAGTGTGGATTCAGGGGTTCTTATTTTATTCAGTGGCTTATGGTCCATTCCGATTACTTGCCTTAATATTAGCTCAAACTGTTCTGGATTTGGAAGCGGGCGCCCTTCCAGGTCCCGTTAACGTAGAGCATGGTCCTGTTTTCTGACACAGATGGCTTCTGCTCTCCCATCCCCAGCCCTGGAGTCAGCCATTTCTCCAAGAAATCCTGCTTTCTTTTAATGGAGAATGGCATTTAGAAACCACAATCTGGGTTCACAAAATAGTCTCTTTTCCTCCAATATTCTTCAGTACTCAGAGGTTTAGCACTTAGAAGAGATCCCGTAGCCCTCCTAACCTGTAAGACCTGCCCAGACCCAACATCTGACAGTGACTGCTCCGGGGGCAGCGTGCTGGGGCCCAGCTCCCTGACACTGCTCTTCCTGATACACCCTGTGCTCTCTGACCTTCCTATCGGAGCAGACACAAAAGCTAATGAGTACAAAAGAATCAGGAGAGTTTGATACTTGTGTGTTTTGGGGAAAATAACCTGTTTAGGAATTGCATTTGATGATCATCCTATGGATTTTCTTCAGGGACGAACCAGGAAAGTTGACCTTTATGGGGGACTGGCCTGGCATCCTGTGGCTTGTTTCCTTGGCAGAAGCACTGTTTTTAGAGGTCACAGTGCATCAGTCCCTTGGCCGTGTGGAGGATTAGGGTAGAGCACAGCCACTCGGCGCGTTTCACCCAGACTGGAGCAGTGTCTGCAAAGCTGGAGGAGGAAACAACTTATACCGAAAAGGACGTTGCTGCTGTGCTCCTATCTAATTCCCTTTCCCTCTCTCTTGGCGTTTTATCTCTTTGGGGGGAATTTTTTCAACCCATGCAAAGATGCAGAAGTCAGCTGGGATAGACAGTGTCATACTCGGCTCTGACGCTGGAGAGCAGTTCCGAGTCATCCAGTAACTGACAGAAAATACTGTCCGCCCTCCATACCACAGGTTCCGCACCTGTGTATTCAGCCAAGCTTGGATTGAAACATTTGGGTGGGGGAGGAATTCAGAAAGTTCCAAAAAGCAAAACTTGAATTTGCCACATACCAGCAATTATTTACATAGCGTTGACATTGTGTTGGGTATCATAGGTAACGGAGAGGTGATTTAATGTACACAGGAGGGTGCGTGTAGGTTATATGCAAATACTAGGCCTTTTTTTTCTTTTTCTTTTTTTTTTTTTGCGGTATGCGGGCCTCTCACTGCTGCGGCCTCTCCCGCTGCAGAGCACAGGCTCCGGACGCGCAGGCTCAGTGGCCATGGCTCACGGGCCCAGCCGCTCCACGGCACGTGGAATCTTCCCAGACTGGGGCACGAACCCGCATCCCCTGCATCGGCAGGCGGATTCCCAACCACCGGGCCACCAGGGAAGCCCACTAGGCCATTTTATATAACGGACTTGAGCATCCTCAGATTCTGATACCTGCGGGGTCCTGGAACCAATCCCCTGCGGATACGGACGGGTGACTGTCAAGTCTGTTTCCCCTCCTTTTAATTTGGGCCGAGTGTTTCTCAGCTGCTGTACCCCGTAAGTTTCACTCCACCAGTGTGACTACCAAGAGGAGCGGTGTGTGGAGGCTGAGCCCCCAGGGCATCGCTCCTGGCCCGGGAGCTCTTTGGTCACTGGTGTTCGTGTGGCCTGCACGTTTTCACAAGGTAGTAGGTTAGCGGAGCCTGTAACTAAAGTGTAAGCAGCATCAGCATATTTAAACCTCCTGGGTTGGTGGACGAGCCAGTTACTGTTTCTCAAACACCTGCCGCCAGCGTCCCCGGAGGTGAGCAGCAGACTTTTCACCAGGTGCCAAAGGGCCCACACGCACCACTGGCCCGTGAGCAGCTGTCTGAGATGCACCTTTGAGCGGAGCAGAGCGCCTCCACTCCCCTTGCTGGCTCCACCGTGCCGTCGCAGATGCTTCCTGGACCCCGTTCTTTCCCTCGGGCCCAGGAGAGCAGGGCTGGCTGGGAAGGGTCCCGGCGGGGAGGGGTCTGGGAAGGTGGGTGCCCCATGTCAGCAGTGAACGCCCCCCAGAACCAACCGGGCAGGGAGGACCAGCTGCGGCCCGGCAGTGACCTCACCCTGGAACCCAGGGCATGGCCTGCGTGCGGCCGAGGTGCCGTGAGAGCTGGGAAAGCAGAGACCCCGACCAGGCCGCGGGCGGAAGAGCCCTGGAGGCGCTGTTGGGTGAAGGGGTCGTGGGTGCCTCGTGGAGGGATTTGGGTGGACGTGGGGGGCTGAGGGGCCACACGTGGAGAAGGCCAGCCAGGACAGGTGTCCCCTGGGTGCCGGCTCACCAGCGGCCGAGGTGGGCGGGACCTGGAGCCGCCAGAAGGGCAAGGTCGAGGGAGGAGCCGCGTGTGCTCAGCGCAGCCACTCATCCGCCGCTCCGGTTTGTCTAGGAGGTTTGTCTAGGATCGGGGTGAGGGGCGCAGTTTCGGGGAGAGGTTGAGACGGCGTTGAGGGTGGGAGAGGGGCCAGGCCGAAGGGGCCAGGGCGGGGCCTGGTGTGCCCTCCCTGCCCAGCACTGGGGTTGGGGGAGGGGGGCGTCCTGGCCCAGGGCACCAAGTGGCTGGTTGTGACGAGCAACGGGGCTGGAAGGGCGGGGAGGAAGGAGGCCCTGCTCGGAGGAGGGGTGTCACTTCCCTGGTTTCGCCCGCCATTTGGCAGCTCTGTCTGCCCATGAAAATCATTTGCAGTCCAGAGCCTTTAGGACAGAAACGGGTGAGGAGGAAGGGGTGCAGAGCCGTCCGCCCTCACGTGTGGGGCACTGACCAAGAAGGCCACTGGGCCTCAGAGAGGGTCTTTGCTTTGTGGGCAAACGCCCAGCAGGGCCTCCCTCACGACACTGGCATGGGGCACAGGTGTTTCATCGTAGATGAAAAAGCCCTTCATTTTATAGCCAGAGAAATGGCACCCCTGGAGGGTGATGTGAAGTTAAAGTTATGCAGGAGTCACCAGGATAACTGGTACCAGGATCCAGGTGCCTTTGTGCTCACTCAGGTGCTCTTTCTAGAGGAGTTGGATAAAGCGAGATTTTAGTTCTTGCTAACTTGTGACCATTTTCACCCCCGATTCTAGGGCGGTTCTGGTGCGATTAGAAGGATGTAGCCACCCCGTCGTCATGAAAGGCCTGTGCGCCGAGTGTGGCCAAGACCTGACCCAGTAAGTTCTGGCAGCTTGAGAGTGGGACACCGTTCCCCCTGGAGCCCGAGGGCGGTGGGTGTGAGCGTGGAGGGACAGGACGCCTGAGGGGCTCGGGTTGGAGGATCTGTCTCCGCTGCCCTTTGTCTGCCCGCATGTAGCGTGAGTCAGTCCGCTTCCTTTCTGGTTTGATTTCTTTGAGCTCTGGAAGCACTAAGGCGTGTCTGCCGCCCACCCCAGGTGTGGTAGGAAACAGCTGGTGGGTTGGGATTTGCCTTCTCATCCCCGCTGAGTGAACTGCGCTTCCCCACTGGGACCGGCCATCCCTGGACGCAGCCGGCACTTCACAACCTCCAGGCCCCCATCTCGCAGCCTGCGCTAGTTTGCCACCACTGTTGAGTGGTTTCCCCCGTTTGTGCGTGTAGAGCAGTGTGGACTGTTCTGTCCTTTCGCGCTCTGGGCCTTTGTGTTTCAGTGGGACCATCTTTATTTTCAAAGGGAGCTCTGTGAGTGTGACTCTTACTTAATTTTTTCCTTGGTTTTCCTGTCTGTTTTCAGACAGTGGGGGAAATTTCAGCACTAAGCCCGCAGGACTCATCAACTAAAGCCTGACCTAAAATTTCCGTGTAAGTTAATGAGCTGCAGGTGTCGCTTCAGCAGCCCCTTCTCGCTTCGCAGGCTGCAGAGTAAGAATGGGAGGCCGCAGGTGCCGCTGTCCACGGCCACCGTGTCGATGGTGCACAGCGTCCCCGAGCTAATGGTGAGCTCCGAGGTAAGTGTGCCCCTGGCAGGGGCAGCGTTTGGGAAGACGGTTCCTGAGAGCCGTGAGCGCATCTGGGGGCCGCTCTTAGCGTCAGGAGCGACAGGAGAAGACACCAGCTCTGTCGTCGCCGTACCTGTGTTCCCAGTGTGCCCGCGGTGGACGGGTGGTTTATGTGGCACATGCGGCCTGCCCGCGGGTGAGGGCTACGCCCCTTCCTCCTCCCCCAAGCGATCCCGCCTGCAGGCAGCACTGCTCCGCGGGGCTGCGTTGGGTCGGCAGCTCTCCAGGGTGCTGCAGCCGGACCCTGGGCTTGGAGAGCTGTGGGTGGGAAGAGAGCCAAGGGGGAAGCGCAGAGCCCGGGCCTGTCGTGAGCAGGGGTGAGGGGAGGGCACTCGAGGGCTCCTGCCCAGGGAGCAGGGGGCCGAGCAGGAGCGGGGAGGTGTCAGGTCTGATCAGCGCTGGCTGCGTAGACGTGGGGTGGAGGGTGAGGGCCCGGTGCTGTGCTTTCATGTGCAGAGACGTGCGAGTGCTGGAGAGATGTCTGGAAAGAAAAAGGTTGCTTTTTGTACATTGCTGTGTTGGTCAGAGGCCTCCTGACACTTGGGCCAGGGTCCACACGGTGGGGTGAGTGAGCATCACCAGGACCAGGCACTAGGCACGGTGCCCACCTCACGGGGCTCTGTAACAACTGGCTTCTTGTCTTATCGCAAGGCCGTCTCAGAGCTCTGCGTTTTTGCAGGTAGTAGGTAAAAGCTCTCTTCAGTGTTATAATTTTATTAGGTGTGTGCTTTTAAATGATACGTACCTACTTTGCTCTTCATGGGAAAGACGAAGTGCCAGCTACGTGATTCTGGTTTTGCTGAATTGCTGAAATTTAAACAAATACAAGTACACAAGTGTATGTTTAAGACAAAACAAGGAAGTCTGCGGGTAGAAAGAGGAGAAGGCGCCCCCGTCGTTCTGCCACGAAGGACTAAGCCTCGCGTCCTGCGTGAACCGCTTCAGGAGCGGACCGCGGAATCCCCCCCGCCCCACGCTCGGCTCACTGCTTGTGTCAGCTCCGCCGGTCGCTTGCCCTGAGCGGCTCCAGAGCCTTCAGCTGGGCCTGTATAGACACAGCCACGTTCTTCTCAGCCCCCGTTCACCGTCTACCTGTTTAATGAAAAGCAGTCACGAGTCGGGGCGGCTTCAAGAGGGTTGGACCACACAGGACTGGCTCCGGGCACTGGAGCCAAGTCCCCTGGCCGCTAGGCTTGCAGGCGAGGCGGGCAAGGCATGCGGGGCCGTGAAGCCCTTGGCTTCCTCGTCTGTTTCCTCGTAAGGCCGAGTTTTGCTTTGGACCCGCATGTACTTGCTTTGTCGTCTCCCTTTTTCCTTTTTAACTAGCAAGCCGAAGAGCTGGGAAGGGAGGACCAGCAGCGACTGCATCGCAGCAGGAAGCTAGTGCTCATGGTGGACCTGGACCAGACCCTGATCCACACGACGGAGCAGCACTGCCCGCAGATGTCCAACAAGGTGAGCTCCGCCGGGGGCCGGGGGTTGGCAGCTCATCCAGCAACGGGCGCAGGCCTCTGCAGCTTGGGTACAAGCTTCGTCTGAAGGAGCACGAGTCCTCGGCTCCGTAAGTGCACGGGCGCAGGGCGCTCTGCTCCGGAAGCTCTTGGCCACGGTGTGGAGGATGGTGAGTAGCTGGTGAGCGCTGGCGTCGAGTCCCTCACCCACAGAACAGCGTGTGCTTTTCAGTTACGTAAGTCTTTGATGTCGTGGGCTCTTCTGTAAGATGCTCTTTGTGTGACATCCGCGATTGGCAGGCGTCTCGGGGGTTTCCTGCATCACGACCGCTGCACTCAGGTTGGGGTGCAGAGCTTGAGGGCATGGCTGCCGCGAGCACCACAGCCACTCGGGGTCGTTCTGCCTGCGAAGCCGGGCCTTTTCATTCCTTTCATAAGAGTTTGCACGGTTACGCCACTCCTGTTCTCGGCTTGTGTGGCAGGAGGGTGTCCTCAGGGCCGTGTGGACGGTGCTCAACTGCTGCTGGGGGCTTCCCTGTGCCTCTGCCCACACCTGCCCACTGGCCAGGCCCCTCTGGACCCCCAGACAGCATCGGGACGCATGGCAACCCCCTGCCTCGCCCCCAACTCCGGACCCACAGGACACCTGCTGGCGACAGCCAGAGAGGCATGTTGAATCCTTAACCTCGGAGATCCTAACTTGGGATTTTAAGGATGTTTCTATTGTAGCTTCTGGACGTTTTAGCTGTTGAGTATGGTGGAAGGTGTTTTATACCATTTCACACTCCCAGATGCTTTACCAGAACAGCCCCATCATGAGGGGTGTGACGAATTTAGAGCTAGCAAAAAATCAACTAGGCGTCAGGTTGTTTCCTTTCTTTTTAGTTTATTACTACTGAGAAAATGAATGACAAAGAGGATCGAAAGGAGAGCATTTCTTTGGCGTGGTCGTGATTCACTGCACTGTCAACTCCCGCCTGTGACCCGTGCAGCTGTCATGTGTCACATGTCAGCCACAGGGCCAAGCCTTCACGGCCGCTCCCACCCCCTGACTGGGCCTGTTCTCTGCAGGGCATATTCCACTTCCAGCTGGGCCGGGGCGAGCCGATGCTGCACACCCGTCTGCGTCCGCACTGCAGGGGGTTCCTGGAGAAGACCGCCAAGCTGTACGAGCTTCACGTCTTCACGTTCGGCAGCCGGCTGTACGCGCACACGATCGCAGGTGGGCAGGCCGTGGGTCCAGTCCCCTCACTGGACACTTAACGTTTGGCTTCTCTCTTTTTCTCGATGTTTCTTGAAGATGAAGGGGCAAGATCAGGAAGGTCTCCCAAACTCAGTTTCAGTCTCCCAGCTGGCAGGTGGGGGCCCAGTTAAGTCGGTCCACAGGCTGCAGGCAGACGAGAACCTCCCTGCTCTGCCGGGCCCATGGGCCGTGACCAGACGCACTCCAGTCCAGAGGGCAGGCTGCCATCACTCCGGTCAGCTGCACGCCACGGGCCACTTTGGAAGTTGGTCAGGACCACACATACGTGGGAAAGTAGAAACTCTCTCTATGAGGGTTCTTTTAAAAAAATGTTAATCCGGGGCTTCCCTGGTGGCGCAGTGGTTGAGAATCTGCCTGCCTATGCAGGGGACACGGGTTCGAGCCCTGGTCTGGGAGGATCCCACATGCCGCGG